CTGCTGTTCACTGAAGAAAGCTGAGGAAAATGGGATGAGATTGGGAAGGAAAAAAAAAAAAAAAAAAAGGGAAAATAAGTAGAGGAACAGAGAAAGCAGAGAAAGAAAAGTGGACAAGAAGACAGAGGCTTCTCCTTCAGCTGGACAAGTAAAGCTATGCCACTGAACAACTCTGGGAAAAGCTTTCTGGTTATCTGGCAAGAAGCTGCTGAAAAAGGGAGCTGAAGAGTGCTCTTGATATCTCTGTAGTTTTGAAACCTTCCAAAGGAATTGTTTCCTCCTGGTATTCATCAATACTGCTTTCCCATGGGTGTGATAGGAAGGGGGACTCTTTTAAAAAGGTTTTAGCTGCTTGAAGGTCACCTCAAACACCACTCTGAAGACAATGACATGGGTAAACATTTCAGCCTCACCTATGTTCCAGCAGACAGAACAGAAACCTCACTGTTTTTGTGGTATCAAAGTGCTCCCTTGTGAAAATGAGAGAGCCCATATATCCAGACATCTCAGTCCATCACGTGGCTTGAGCCCCACCACACCCTAAGCCCTGTTCACAGCCATCCTTGTGTGATGGGTGTGGGGCTCTGTGCTGGGGACACACAGCATTGCCCTAGGAAATGCAACCTGTTGTGCGACAGCATGTCACCCCCTTTGCCAAACAAAAAGCAGCTGGGAGAAAACATCTCCCCCTAAATGTAGATTTATTAACACTCAGCACCAGGAAAGTCAAGGTCAGGGGTTAAAGCTTGCCTTTATCCATCACCTCTTGATATGACCTTGGTGGGGCTTTTTGCAAAGGGCAGGGACAGTTGACGCTGTAATGAGCTGCTCTTCCCAGGAGACCCAGCACAAAGAAACAGTACAGAACATCCACTTTCATGTATCAGTGCAAGAATACAGGTTTGATTGGCAAGAAGTTTTCCATTAAAAATACATGGGAACTTACCTCAGAGAGACAGAAAGTAGACCCCACAGGATAAAGTCTTTTCAGCCAGCTTTTAATGAAGACAATTATATCCATGTATTTGAGGCTTTCCTTCTTCATTCTTCTCCAAAGAAAACAGGCTCATTTCACAGGGCAAAACTAGAATAAAAAATAAACTTACAACTGTTGTACTTCAACTGGTCAATTACATTTTGAAATCCGAGTGACTGTGGTTTTAACACAACTAAGATGGTCCATAAAAATATTAGCTCACGTGAATGTGTAATAGCTGCTTTTCAGAATGAAATGGTTTTTAAATTCTGAGGAAATTAATAGTTTCTAAAGAAAGAAGAAGAATACAACTTGGGTGGTCACTGAGACCATTCATTTTAATGAGTTTACCAACAGATTGAATAATACAAGGAAGGATCTAATGCTGCTTTATTCTGAGTACCTATTGAGGCATTCATTCATCTCTCAGTCAAGACTGGATGTCACACGTTTTGTCCTTTGTTTGAACTTTTATTCCAAGCATGGTAAACAAGTTGTTCTTTGGTGCCCTCCTTCACTATTTCCTGTCCTGTCCCTCCCTCTCCAGGCACACGTGGAGAGCCTGTAGCAGTTTGCTCAGTGGATTTGTTGATTTTACCCAGTGAACTACAGAGTTTGTTTCACCTATCTGTATTTCTGAATTTGAACTCCAATCTCATAATCATAAGTGATGTATCTCAAAGCATGGAACTTCACAGCACACAAAACATCCTCTTTTGCTCAACTGGTTCTCTATTACTACTGACACAGGGCCATTATTTTTATGCAGGTAAGGACAGGGAAGAAAGCCCCTCAGTCACCAATCCAGACTGGAATGATGCCAAAAATTACTGGTGTTTCATGTGGAATAAAGGCAGAAAGATGGTGCACATAAACCAGTTTACACCCCTGTCTGCTAGCAGATCTGATCCATCAGGATTAGATTGTTCTCATCTATGAACATTTTCCCTTCTATGCAGTACATCATCTTCTGAGGTTCTGAGGTGAAGTTAGGGGTGCAGATGAAGTTCAAGCATCATTATTAGAAAAGAGAGATGCTTTGGAGTACACAAATCATGATACCTTTAAAGGTGCCCAACAGGTTCAGAGCAGACACTGTAAAGAGTACCTCTTTTAAAATTGCCTCCAGCTGGAAATCAGAAGACAAACGAACCATAGTCACCAGCATTTTTTAAAACTTTGGTCTTGGTTTAAAGAGCTGAACTGTGAACATGGGATCATGTGAACCATAACAGCCTCATTAACTTAAAGCTGACCTGGACCTGCAACTCTCTTAGAATGGCCAGGACACGGGCCAGGCACTTCTCCACCCACCTCCAGCAGCAGCACTGGAGAAAACAGAGGCACAAACATCTGCCACACACACACTCCCACTCAGGAACCATCACACCAGATGGTATTAAAAAAACATCAGATAGCACAGGCAAGAGCCCATGGACAACAGGGATTACAGCAGCACTGAATCTTGGCTAACTCTGAAGCTGGGTAGATTGGGCAAAATGGCTCTTCTCTTCACTCTGCCTTGCACTCTGCCCTTCTATGAAGCAGCCACAGTGGGCCACCATCATGGCACTGGGCTGTGTTCCACTCCATCCCCAGAAGCTGTAAGAAACTCACACAGGGGAGTACCCTTTATCAAAGTGCCCAGCCCCTCCAAGACAAGCTTTGGGTTCAAATGACATTAATTTGCAAAATTCTCTGATTTCTCTCTGAATGTCTCTGTGTTGTTTAGTGCTTTTCTTAGAGCAGTCTATTTTTTCTCAGTATTGCATTTATAAGAAGAATTTCCTTACCCAGAACCAGCAGACACTCCCCCTGCTTCACACTTCCTTATCTTCCTCCTTGTCCCCACAAAACTATTATTTAAAAACAGGAAAAAATACTCTGGCAAACAATCTTCCCCCCATCCTCCCTGCTATCTGTTTAAATATCCTTGACTGCAAGACATTCAGTACAGAACAGTCATCAATTTTTAATTCATTTAATCTCTTGGTAACAGTGTTCTTGTGAACTGAAGGGCCCCTGAGGAAACTTCAGAGAACCCTCAGACACTGCATCCAGGAATGAAATTCTGAGAATAAAGTGGACTCTGTGACACTGTATGGGTTAACGGGGGAAAAAAAAAGATACTTAAAACTGAGAACCTTTCACCCCCAGCCAAATCAAAACACATTGTAAACCAGAGCTCTGTACCCTAACACAGCACAGATTGAAACAAGCAGCAGGGAGAGAATTCCCTGCGTCAGAGATGTTCATGATTCAGCAAACTTGGGAAGGAGCCCTCTGAGTAAACATGTGGGTTGTCTGCGCTCCTGGTCCTGCTCCTGCTTCTTCGTTCTTGTTCCAAGAAGCTCAGAGAACATCCTTTTATGCTGTCAGTAATTAAATTCTGCCTGCTTAAATGCCCTGGAAGTCTCAAGAGAGCACAGTTTTTCTCCTTGAGTCTGTAAATGTGGGGGAATCTAACACTGTGTGTATCTGCATTGTTCTCCAAAGAACTGCCACTCAGAAATGGACAAAATGCCACCTGTGTACAACATGAATGTTATTTGGCTCTGTAGGCATTTTAGGGTAGGGAGCAAGAGGATTCTTGGTTATATTCAATCATGTTGTATGTCATATGTAGCACTCACAGGCCCCAGATGTACTGGAGTGTGGCATGAAAACAGGGAAAGAGCAAAACCCTGTCCCCATTATTTTATCATCTCGTGAAAGAAGTTAAAAGTAACTTATAGGTCCAGTTCTGTGGTAGCCAAAATTGATGTGTTTTATCTGAACCCAAGTTTTCTCTTCATGGCATGTGTAAGAACTAAATTTCTCTGAGGAGGCTTTTGGAAGGAGAAACAGGTTTGATCACACGCTGTATGATACCGAGCTTAATGTATGCATAGAGCCACATCAGCTCTACAGCACCCAAGCAGCACAAAATGCACATAGCTCCAGATATCCAAAGTGTCTGGATCCCACTGACTATCACAGAGAAATGCAGTGCTAACAAGGGTGGCAGCAAAAAGAAGCCTAAAGCCTTCAGCTGCCCTCCTCAGCACCCTCAGCCCTCCTTCTGAGTTGAGATCCCCACCTAGAATTTCCTTACCTGTAATACCTGGCAAGCTGCTCTGTAGGGATGGGAATGGCTCAGTCCTGCTCAGCTTCTAGAGGCCAATGCTAAATAGCTACTTCAACAGACTCAGTTGTAAAGAGACTGTGACTGTTTACACTAAATCACACAACACAAATCCCGTCTTTCCACATGCACCTTAGCGTAACAGGCAGGCTGCTCCTGTAATGACAGGCAGCACAAGAACACAAGGCATTACACTTCAGAGCTACTCAGTAAATTGGTATGTTTTTTTTGCAAGATTATGCAATGTGTAGGACATTTGGGGTCTATTTTTGAAAAAATGGTGACCAGAAAATTGCAATGCAAAACATGGCTTTGATGCTTAGTGCCAAAGCGCTTTCCACCAGCAGAACAGCAGCTCAGCCAGCCAGACACAGAGGTGCTGGGACAATTTGCAAAGTTACTATTTCTTGCAGAGACTTCCCCTATTTGTGATGCCTTTTCCTAAACAAGTGATTTGCCATTCACCAGCAGCAACCTCTGATTCTTTGCCTGTGTACCTCCTGTTCTTTTTCACACTATTAAGAACATTATTTTCTATTCTTCTGTCAGTGGAGTGTGCTGATGATTAGCACTGCAATATCTGGTCCTCTTTATTGAAAATGTTAATCCTTCCTTTTTGCAGGGTTTCTTTAGCCAGGGGTGTTAATACTTGGTTAATAGAATCAGGCTGCTTTTTTCTTCATCTCTTGTGTTCCATGGGTTTTAGGAAGGGAATTATTTTTTGTCTTTTGGTCAGAATTTATTATAGTCTCTTGTTTGGTTCTCTTTTTTTTTTTTTCTCCAGAGGGGCTGCTTTGACTTTTCTTGCCTTTTTTTTTTTTTTTTTTTTTCCTGTGATTATGTTCTCACACTTAGCAGTCAGAACATTCATTGCTCTGTGTCTTTTTTTGGTTTCTGTAGTCTGTAAAGGGAACTTAAGAGTGTGTCCATCAAGGAGGAGTTACCTGTGTTCATAACCAGGAAGACTGGGAGCTGAGAGGTTTCCCTCACTCAGTGCAGAGGTAAGGCTTTCCTTGGCATTCTACAAGCTTCCCTTCAACCTGAAGATCATTTCAGAATTTGGATAGTAACTAGCAAACACCCACTGCTCATAAGACATTTTTTTCCGTGGAGAGAGCATGATGTGAAGCATGGGTCACCTACTGTACCTTCAGGAATCACAGATCCTGCCCCAGGGGATAGATGAGGTTGCCAAGATGCAAACCAGAGATGGCTGCAGAATGAAGCGTAGCTAACTTCAGCGGCATGATCTTTTAATCCTGATCAGGCAGCAGTTCAGTGAAAACTCCTCTTGTTTTGATGTGAAGAGCACAGACCCTATTTCCCACAAATTGCTGATGATTTTCTTTAAAAGGAAAGATATCACCTGGAGAAATGCAGCCAGTCAAGGAAGGAAAATGCGAAGTCATCTGATGCTTTGTCTCTCCTGATTGCAATCATATTTTATTCTAAAGTAAAGAGAAACTGTTTTGGCATGAAACTAGGAAGCAGTGGATGTTCAACATGTAGCTACTGTGGATATGGGACTCCAGGACGATTTTCAAGGTCGCCTCAACACACAGATGTGCTCGCACTGGAGATAGTTTCAGCAGGCACACCTAAAGCTGGCTGGAGCTACGGGAATTGGTTGGCTCTCCCTCCATCTATCCAGCCGGCCCGCGGAAGGCGCAATGGGGGCACTGCGGAACAACTTTCCTTGCGTCTTCTACGAGTCAGACCGTGAGGTTGGCAGAGTTCTCCTGTGACCCTTGGCCTCTAAACACGCGTGACCCTGCCTGTGCTACAGCTCCCAGGCACAGCCGGCCCCGGGATAGGGAGCAGCCCGGGATAAGGAGCGGCCCCGGGAGCGGCCCCGGCCGGAGGCTGGGCCCGCGCACGGCGCCGCCCGGTGGCAGCAGCGCCGCATTGCAGGGGCAGCGCACGGAGCCCGCCCTGGGGCTGCGGCGCGGCTTGAGCGACAGCCGTCCCTAATTATGTTAATTGCACAGCTTCTTCTTCTTTTTTTTTCTTTTCTTTTTTTTTTTTTTCCTCTCCAGAAGCCCTTAGGCTTTTGTTTGCAGGGAATAAATAAAGAGGGATTAGTTACGTTTATCTGTGTTTTCCTAAGTCTTTACGGAATAACTGTTACGTGTAATTAAGTAATTTGTCTGTCCTTGACCAAGCTGATAGCAAATTACCAGACATTACTGATGAGGTTCCATTACATTTTAGAAATAGATTACATGGATCTGGGATTTATTGATTTTATTTCTTATTTTAGACAGGATCAGCTGGAAATAATGGTCTTAGGAAGGTGAAAATGCAATGTGCTTTGACAAGTTGCCTTTATCTAGCAGTATTGTTTAGCTATATATGGATGTGGGACTCCAAAACCATTTTTAACATTGCCCCAACACAGAGATATTCTCCCTCGAGAGACAGTTTCAGCAGGCACACCTGGAGCTAAGGGAACTGATTGAATCCTTCCCTCCACCCACCCATCCATCCAGCTGAGGAGCTGTTGTCTTCTCCACAAAGGATCTGCACTGAACCAGCTGCACCACAAGTTTTCCATTCACAGCTTTCCCCTGCCCAGTGTCAAACATGCTGATTGGATATATTCAGGCAACTTTTGTTAAGAGCAATATCATCCTGTATCTGTCCTTTGTGATCCTGCTAACTGATATTTAAATAATTCACACTCTTCAAGGATCCAGCTTAGCTGCTTCCCCTATACTTTCTGCATCTCAAATCACTAATCCATATACCCTTTTCTTAAAATCTGCTTCCTGTGAGGTTTCCCATATAATTGTCAACCCAGATTGATGAGTTTCTCTTCAGGAACCACGAAGCATTGATGTGCAGAGAGAATGTCAAAACGTCGTGTTTAAAATTAGATTCTCTTGTTCAAGATACAGATACCATTTCATTCACATGCTTTGAAGGCACTTTATTGAGCCTGCCAAATCCTTACAGACTCACAAGGAATATGTTCTCCTGAAAACTGAGACTGGATACTTCACCTTAAAATTTACTAATCTTACTACATCCTTGTTCTTTAGGTATATATTAATTTACTATAATCACACAAACATACTTCTTACTAAACATATGCACCACTCTGCCAACAGAAGGCTTGGAAGTACGTCCACACCTCCTGACAAATTGCAAAAGCAAAAAAATCTCCCAAGGAGATACTGCACTGGCGCATTTGCCAAAAGGCCTGTCCAGAACTGATTGCAGCCCACCATGGGGCTCTGGAAAATGTGGCATCAAGGCTAGGTCTTCAAAACTGAAAGGCAGCAACTAATCATAATTAAAGGGTGTGGATGTTCTTTCATCCCCCGGGAGCTAGCTCTTGGGGTAAAATAAGAAACTCTTTCACTAAACCCCATTGTGTGGCTTTGTCTTCCAAACACACTGGGGAAAAGAAGGGGAGGAGATTCAATAAGCGCATCCAGGAGAAACTTGGATTACAGCCAAGAGTCGTGATCTGGACAGTGCCAAGACTGTGAGCAGCACAGAGAGGAGGGGTCGCTTCCAAAAGACTTTTTGCAGAGATTTTATCCCTGCCAAACCCTCCTCCCAAGGCTATAAGTAAGCCATGATGGTTATGCCTTTTTTTAGTGCATGCAAAACCTCTGCTACCAGAAATTAGAATGCCATTGTGATGCTTCAGTTTCTTGAGGAGATGTCAGCTGTTTCCTCAGAGAAGTAAGCAGCACCCAAGGGCAGGTGACAATGCACAGGAAACATTTTAGGGGATTTTGGTCATGGGCCAGCCCATGCCTATGGATACATGGGCTAAACTGGTCTAGTTTACTGGGGCATGGGATTTCAGGCCTTGTTTCTCTGACAGCCTGACCTGGCACACAGGCAGCAGGATATGCTCCAGGGAAAGCAACTATTTTCAACAAGAGAAATGTGAGAAGGTGAGAGTCCCCCAGCCAGTCTGAAGCACTGGCTACCCACTGCTGTGGGTGAGGTTTACCACGGGGGGATCAGCAGACTCCAGCTGCTCACTGGCATGCCTAAAGGACAGTCCCTCTCCCTACTCCTCTCCTCCTCTCTGCCCTGCTTCTCTCAAATCAGCTCTTGCTCTCAGTCTGCCCTGCGTGAACTGATTCAGCTCATTAAAATGGCTGAAAGACAATTAACTGTAGCAGGGAGGGGAAAAGGGCAGGACACACTCCTCAGGGACAGGGAGAGGCAGTCCCAGAGACATTTCTCCAGGCTGGGAGTGGCTAGTCTTTACCAATCCTCCCTTTCAAATAGGCCAAGGAGGGATAACTAATCACAGTTCTTGCACAGGTCGCCTTCCATGAGATTACGTGCCCCGTTCCCCTACCTGCATCCAGGCTGGCAGCTCGAAGCCACCAGGGAACTTCACGTGCCCCTCAAACGCTCCACACACCACATTCATCATGAAGGCACCTCTTCTCCTCTCCTCTCCTCCACCTCCCACATACAGCATCGCCAGTCCATGGATCTTGCCAGAAGTCCACCACTGGCAGCTGTAGTTGTGCCGCCTTAGCCCGAGCAGAAACGTCCAAGTTTTGTTCTCACTGATAAATGTGTGAGGGTTTCATAATGCCCCTGAGGAAGGATGATAATTATTTTGCTTATTTTAGGAGTTTTTATAGCTGACCTCTCTGTTGTCAGAACTACAAGTCCCACAGATCAGCATGTAAGTTACATTGTCTTTTGTCATCAAGAGTAGCACAAACTTCTCTCAGTTTCTTTCTTCTCCTCCGTGGGGAGAAACCAAACTTGTTTTTTTCAATAGCTCAGTCGTTGTTCCTTTGTTCTGTTTGTATAAAGCAAAATGCAAAGAATCCTGAGGAAGCAACCAATTTTTGTATTCCTATTACAAAGAACAAGTATGTCAGAAATCTTTTGGTTTTTTTCCCTTGGAACCTGTCTTTTTATGTAAGCACTTCTTGAAACATAACAAGTAAGTCCTTCCTTCATTTCCCTTTCCACTTGGAATGGGTGGAGAATTACACAACAGAGAAGGACAGTTCATTTTCCTAAATGTTTTTTCTAACAAGCAACAGGATGGCAACTTAGAGCTGGCACCATCTCTTCAGGTCTTAGCGTCTTGGCCAGGTCACTGTGGCGAAAAAAAGCCCAAAGTGTCTGGATTCCTTTTCTGAATGGCTGCTCCTGCTGTTCTGCAGCTACTGCCCCTCGCTTCACTGGCAAGCGCCGATGTCCCATGGGCTGCTCCCCTGCTCCTGCCCTGCCTGCCAGGGTTCCCTGCCCAGCAGTGCCACCCTCAGAGCCGTGCCTGGGGTGTCACTGGCTGTGGCTCAGCCTGGCCAGCATCACCCTTCACCTGACTCCAGCTTGCTCCCTTCACACGGGGCAAAGATCGCTGGGGCACAGCTCTGAGTGCGCCTCGGCACTGATGGAGCTCACACTGTTCAGAAGCACTCCAAAGCCCCTCACTGTGCGTCTCATTCTTGTCACACAGACCCTCTTCCCTTGGCTGCCTCGCAGAGCACAGTGGTCAGGCTTTAGTTAGTCCCATGTCCCCATGCTGTGTCTGGAAAGATGCTGTGGAGCAGCTCTTTCTCTCCAGACACCTAACCTGGGTCTCTTTACCTCATTATCTGTGAAATAGAGGCCATCTATAACAGATTTTTTTTCTTACATCTGATTGCTGACTGCGTGAAAATTCTTGCTGTAATACCTTCTCCCCATTCAACTTTTAGCAGATTAGGACACAATTCTACTTTGTAATACATCAGAGATGTATCATCATTCCTTCTGAAATCTTGGAGTGATTGAGGATAGCTTTTAATTTGGGGTGCTGTAGAAAGCATTGGCTCTCTCCTGGTTTTGAGCTTTCAGCTGGTGCAGGGGACCAGGAACAAAAAAAAAAAGGACAAACACTGAGTTATGTGCTTGCTGAGTGAAACTCTCTCTATTTAAAAACAGTTTCATCTTAGGAAATGTTTTTTCTTGACAGAGATTCTTTACTCTAACACTTGTAATGAGTATTTATTACAACAGTTGCATTTGTCAGTCCCTTGTATGCTCTGGGCTTTCTGGAGATTTAATGTAGCTAAATGAGACAATGGACTGGATTTCTGGTGAAATATCAGATACTTGTCCTCTCTTTAAAAACCAAAGCAACTATTTCATATAGTTTTTCAGCTTTTCTTACATGGCAGCACCCATTCTGTTTCACATAGTGCCAACAAGACACTTTAAAATTTCCTGGACCTTCTACCTTGGCAGCTCAGCAAGAACAGCTCTCTCTGAAACCTCCCTAATCAATTGACTTTGCCAAGCCTTTTGCTTAACAAATCCTGCAATTGCTTCCAGCTTTTTCCCACAAGTGATACCAAATTAATGGATTTGCAGTCTCTTGGTGAGTCTCTTGGCCTTTTCTTGTCTGATTAGGCACACTCTGGCCTGCTGGGAGAAATGTACTGCATTGATAAAGATGCTGGAAGAGGTTCATTTCATGTCCCACTTTTCTTTTGCATTCTTTGTACTCATACAAGTCAAAATGTTACATTGACAAGATTAAAAAACTCGAAGGCCCTCAATATGGGCACATCTCACATCATGACTAATCCAGTGTCTTAGGTATCCTAGGCAGTCATGCATGCTATTCCAAATCTGTCTTGCATTTAAGAACTTGGCCCAAATTCACGAGTGTATTCTTAAAAGTATATTTGGGGCTTAACTGTACATGCAAATAAAATGTTCATATAAGTAACCTAAGGCCCCAGCAAATCTAACTTTATGCCTCTGTCAAACAATCCAAACCAAAGCAGTATATGAAATTACTACATTTTTAAGCATGGATATTTTGAGCATACAACTGCTTTCCGAATGCTATTTTCTCTGTCATATGTTTAGAATCACTGTCCTTAAACAACAGACTTGTCTTAGAAAGAAAAACAACAAACAGGATTTTGTTATTTTTCTAAACAGTTTCAGTTCTATTTCTGCCTTGTACCAGATATTGTTTCATTTCCAGATAATCCAGTAAATCTCAGAAGCAGCTAACTCTTGCACCCCACTACATATGAAAATGCTCACACTTCACTTTCCTCACTCTTCGTTTGGCCGCCAGTCATGCTGCACATATGACAGGATTCAGGTCTTCTTTCACAGAATCTGTGTTCAGACTGCTAATAATTTCCAGTTCTGCCCCCTAGAACTAGCAGATTCCTCTGGCCCTAGGCTTCCCTTGAGGACAGATACTGATTGTTGGGCTGGAGAGGTGCTCTAGGACTTGAGGATCATGAACCTACCTTCTGCAGCATCCATGGATAGGAATCCCACCACCAAGCCTTTGCACACCCCGGGCAGGAAAGCTCTGCACAGCTTCTACTGGCACTGAGCCATTTCACAGTCAGGAACATAGCCACAACCCAGTGAGACAGAAGGGCAGGCAGAAAATCCTTTGGTCAGCCTAATTACTGAGTTACAGCCTGGGAGGGGAGAGATACAAAGCCCCTGGATTGTTTCTGTTTAATTTCTTTCTGACAATAATCTAACATGTACACAGGAACACAGAATCAGCACTTTAGTTCTGGTTCTTGGTATCATGTCATCTGCTCAAGAGAGTCTTGGATAGGATGGGAGCTATAAATCGTGGCATATGTTTGGGTTTGTATGCTAATCATACATTCAGAGATTATAAATTCCAATTTTAACAGTCCTATTTACCAGCATTTTTCTGTCATCAAACTACTTCTTTCCCCCTGAATTTTTGCACTGGAATTAACAGGGACTTGAAACATTCTCAGTTCAGAGAGTTGTAGGCAGAGTATTTGAGGTAAATCCCCCTATTCGGTCAAGAGCTCCTCTGAACCTGATCACCATTCTTGGTTTCTGGGGTTTGGTAACACTGCTATATCTCAGCAGCTCTTGATATTGCTATACAATTTTCCTTGGGTTTCTTGGGGGATTTAGTGGGGTTTTTTATTGTTTTTGTTTGTTTGGGGTTTTTTTATTATTATTTTGTTATTTTGGGGTTTTTTGTTTGTTTTTCTTTCAAAAAGGCTTATTTCTCCTGTTCTTACCCCAGCAGTTAGTACTAGATCAATGCACCTTCCTTACATTCCTTTTTTTTACCTGAAGTTGAAGGTAACTTTTGCTGAACTGACAATCCAGGGGATTCTCAACATTTTATCTAATAGTGAGCAGTAGGATAAATGTCACTCAATCTCTTGGAAGATATCCTCAAACACTTCTCACTAGTTTTGATCCCCAGCCACTCCAGTAATGGTGTTCCTTGAAAGGGACTCAACACTTGATACATATTACCTCCCACTATTAACATCAATACATTTCTCACATTTTATAACTTACTCTTACACCCATCTTTAATAAACCCTCAGTGGGAATAAAATTTATCCTTTTTCTGAGAGTACATCTGAAAATTCCTCTTTGTCCCAGTAACACTGTGTGTAATACCTGTGTCCTTGTTCCCAGCAGGCTGTCTAGGACATTCTTGGTACAGCTCTTGGTTTCAGGTCAATCCATTTAGCATCTCCTCAAACACTATTAAGAAGAACACCTCTGAGCAAACAGGACCTGGCACATTCTCTGTTGACATCATTTATATTCATACTTTATCAGTGACAGTGTTCAGAAATCACAGTCACATCCAGAAAAGTGTCTGGCACCACTAAAGAGCAGCATCAACCCAGGCAAGTCCTATGGCATTGGGACTTAACAGGAATGCAACCAGGGCAAGAGATGTCACTCAGTCCCTCTAGCGATGTGCATGTCTCCATCCTGTTGTATTTCACCATGCAGGATACCAGGGTTTGCTTCTGGCACCAGGGCAAAAGCAATGAGGGTCACCGGAAACAACTTCTCCTCCCTTACATGTGTGAAGGAGAAAATAAAGAGTAGAGCAAAAAGGAATCCCACTGAAGGCATCCAAATGCTCATGACTTCTGATTCATGACTTCTGATACCTGCATGTTCTGGCAAGACAAGAAAGCCATTGCAGCTCCTGGATGTTTGTTTTCAGTCTCTGGGTCTTAGTCATGCCCCATACTTTTTCCATACTTCGGGAGTTCCATGATGTGTTTTTGTGGCCTTTGGGTTTGGGACTTGCTTTTTTCTTTTATGATAAGATATTTCAGATAATCTATAAGTCAACTATTGGAGTATTAACTTTTGCCCTAAGCCTCAATGTGAGCTAGGCAGCTATGCTTTGTGCAAGAAATTTTTGTTTTGTTGTCAAGGGTTAATTATCTTCACAGTTGTACTTCTTCCCACTCTTACTGTCTTGGAATTTAAGGGTTTGGGGCAAATTTCTTTGTTACAGATAACAAGCTGCTATTTTATCTTCCCTGAAATTGCAAGATTGACTGGGAAACCTTAGATCAATCACAGACTATGTTAGGCCTTCACCTTCTCTGTACAGTATCAGTTAAAAACATACTGCTCATTTCAAGGGCAGTGCAACACTTTTCAAATATTTGTAGCAGTTTCACAGATAACTTTCTCTGTCTGAGTGGATAGGAAATGATTAAAAACATCTTCAGGATCAGCTATTGTGGAAAAAAAAAAAAATCTTCTTATTGTGTTCTTTTTCCTCTGCAGAGCTGACCTAAAGCTGACTTTGTGCTTTCCTCACTTACCTGTTTCCATTTTCCCGGAAAACTCAACACTGGCAGTGCTTCTCTCTGCCTTGTAATTCAAGGAGTGCTGGCCTCATGCAGGTTACCCATGGTGTTGTGTGCTGCCTGTCCAGCAGTGAGCCATGGAGTATCCCAGAGGCAGGCTCCCTCTGCCATCTCAAGCTCTAGCTGCTCCGTGTGGGGTTAGCCTGAGAGTCTGAAGCACATCACAGCTTGTCCCAGCCAATTCTTTGCAGACTCTCCAAGGCCATAATTTCTTCTTGCTTTTAGTGATCATTTCTTGGTCAGATTGAATGAGTGCTGCCACCTCCAGACATACTTTTCAGCTATCAACCTCCTCTCAGTTATTTGCATTCACAGTTATACCAAAACTCTTGCTGGTGGAGCAAGTTGGTTGATCCATAGCACTGGAGGACTTTGTGTTAATGGAGACCTTGCTGGAGAAGATCCTCAGTTAAAAAATACCAGGAAATATTTAACAGCTGCCTTTCTACATTTGAGTTTTGCTGTTATAAATTTCCTGGGGTTTTTTTTGCCCTGTACATACTCTTGATCCAAGGAATAAAATATCTATGAGTTTGCCCATTGATCACAGCTGCAGCTACATTTTCAGCCTGACTACAAGAGTTTACAAAATGGAAAATTTGAGCAGTCATCTGTGGATATTCTAAACATAAATCCAAAATTAATTTTCCCCAGCATATTTCCCTTCATATGAAGTGACACTCTCCTGTATAGCAGCTCATGTGCTGCTCCACCAAATGGAGAAAGATAAAAGTAGATGTTGCTGTCAGTGGAGACCATTTGGCACATTACCAGCTGATCACACACACACATGTGTCACCTGCAGAAACAGGACTGGGATATTATTAACAGGCTGGGGGGAACCAAACAGAAGATATGGAACATTACAACAGAATTCCAAAGTACAAACCAGACTTTAAGGTATCAGCTCAAAACACCAAATTATTGGGTGTTGAAATCGGCAGCATCTACATTGGTGAAGACTATGTCTGGAAGTGTGCCTCTGAACAGGCTGCTTTGCTGGATGTTGAGATGCCCACCAGCAAGGTCTTGGCATAGTCTCTGCCCTGTACTGGATTCCAAATGCCAGCTGAGGCTGGTCAATGCACGACCAAGGAGGCTGGCCTGATGTACATTGTCACAGAGAGTGAAAAGTCCCAGTCTTCAGCTGCAAATGAAAGAGAAGCAAGTTGCCTATTATCCAGCACAGAGTTCGGAGCCAGCTGTGTGATGCACAAGTCCAGCTCAAGAGATTTTTCCCCTTACTGAGATAGAGAAATGGTACATTATCTGAGCAAACTTCTGAAGAGAAGAACAAATAGCATTTTGGGTTAGTTCTACTCAAACCATGTTACAGGGCTTCTACAAAAAACACTCACTGAACATCTAGTGATAATGGTTTGTACACCTGACTTAAAACCTACATTTCTGAATATTCCCTTGCATGGCTTCATTGTAGTTCCACGGAGATGCAGTGCTAGAAAAATCTTATCCAAATATGTGTAAAGTTTACAATTCTGTAAGTCCCAGCTGTTGAAGAGGTCAGAGAACTTCCAAATGAAACTGCATATCCAGTTTCAGCTGGCAACTGCCAGAAAGTTAAGTGAAAAAATCCCAATCCCACTTCCAAAGCATATTCTTTGCTAGGCACTGTAATATATCACCTTCTTCTGTAAACTTCTGGCATTTCCAAGTTTCATCCATAGGAAAAGAATAGTTGGAAAAAGTATCACAGCTTCTTTTAATAAGATACTATTGTGTTTTTGTGAACTCCAACATCAGGAAGCATTTTTCAAGTGCATCACAGAAAATTAATGTCTTGCAATATTCATTAATTGAATTGCATTTTAATATATCATTTGACTAATAATGTAAGACATTTATATTTTGGGCTTTTCTGTCTCAAAACCAGCTCTTTCTCACAGATCCCACTTCTTCATACCTGTGACATCACATGAATCATGACATCAGAGTCATTACCGTGGAAAGACACTTGCCTCACAATATTATTGTGTTATCAAACAGAAGCAGCTGGGTAATGTGGCTGAATAATCCTGTTCTGTATATTCAGCAATAGCAAAATGAATACCGAAAATTACTAGCAAACTAAATAGCTACTTCTATAAATACTCCCCTTGCAAAAGTTCACCCTATTTTAAAAGCCACTTGTTAAATGCTATTTAGTATATATATAAAGACTAGTGGATGAAGACCAAAGTCCTTGAAACAGACAAGAAAAATACCTCATTGCTAAGTGTAAAGTAAAATTCTCTATCTCTTTGCTTTATCTGTATGACTTTTGTGTCCCCATCAGCCAGAAAGAGGCATTTTGCTTGCTATCACTACTAGCTGCTTGGGCATTTCTGGTTTTAAAAAAAAGTAAACAAGTGTCCTGTACATCGATTGCTGTAGCACTTTGCACCACTGCATTTCATTCTTCTCAATATTGAGAGGCAACATTAAATCCCTGCTTGGATTTAGAACCACCAACTTTCTCCACAACAAATGGAGACAAGTAGATAAGTGACAAGTAGTGAGGGATGAGCACCAGAAGTCTGTTCTGGAGAGTTAAATAATTCTGTTGAATCAGTATCAGTGGAAAAGGAAGTGTGATAGAGTTGGAACATACCACAACAGTTTCAAACTAGCCTAATTTGGGCCAAATTTAAAGCCAATGCCACTGAGGAAAGCACCTTGAAAGGAAGGAAATTTCAGCACCCTATGATCTGAGTTGCTTGGGTACTCAGCAAGATTACCCACCATGTTGTTATGACTGATGATAGCACTGTTGACCAAAGAAAAGAGCCCAACAGCATCTGGGCATTATGGCAGGATTCATTCTTAGAAAAGGTATCCTGCCCTACAAGTGGATAAACTTTGTGCTACGGAGACATGTCCTGTCCTTGTGCTTGGATGGTGAAGTAAGCCTGTCCATATTGCACACAAAGTCCAAGGCACAGACAAGTGAGCTGTCACTGCAGGCAGATCTGTCTACACATGGAGGGAAAATGTGCACCAAATAGCACTGAAAGCTCCAGAGGAGAGTTTGGATAATAGAGCTGTTCCCTTTCCTTCACACTGAAACAAGTAAATGAGATCTCTTTCCCCTCTTCTCTCTTTAAAATATTAGAAATCATTACCAAAGCTTGGCTATTATATTCCCTGTGCCTAAAAGCCCCTGTTTTCTTCTTTATGTGAAAAGAACATTGAATGCATCACATTTACTGCTGAACAAATGCATTTGCCAGTTCTCTTAAATGCCAAAACAATTGCTTTAACAGAGTTAATAAGGGGGGGTGGTGATGTGAACAGCCTTATTTTTGTCCTTAGCGCCCCAAAAGGAAATGTGTTTCTTACTAATAATAGTGTATGTGACAGAAAATACCAAGTACATGCAACTGTTCTCATTCACTTGCCAAAACGGATAATTCACATCAGGGCTTAAAAAAGTAAAACAAAATAAACAGAAAACCACCCCAAGTAAACAAATTAACCCTTCCCCTTCTACCAGTAATTCTCCTAAACTGAAAGCTTGAATCTAAATTATTTTGCTGGTGACCAGAGAGTGAATTAAAGGGAAGAAGAACAGAGCTTGTGTTTAAATTCCCTGAGGAGCTTGTAAGAAACCATCCTGTCTGACACATTTTTTTTTTCTCCAGTCAACCGTTAAGCACACCCTGCCAGTGTAAACCAGACCTGTGGAGGAAACAGCTTATTCACACCCAAATTTATTTCTAGCCTTCCATTTTTTTGTAGTACTCAATACAATTCTGACAGGCTCAAACATTCAACAGTCATAAATTCACTTTCCTCCTGCATCCCCCTAGAGAAATCATGTAACTGGGCTTAAAACCAGGGAAACTTAACTGAAATTTATTAATAAATGTTGCACAGTTTTGTTTGTTTCAGTTCCTGATTCTCAAAACTACATGTACTCTCTGCTGCATTTCCAGGATTTTCTGTAGCCACAATGACAAGGAATGACGTTCTTTACACCCCTTTATTTCCAGTAGCTGAAGCTGTAGGGGGGAAATAAAAGTGAATCACTATCATACAGCTCCAGATGGAGCAGATGTAGCAATGCTGCTGCCTTGTTAGTTCACGCCCAGCATGCTTAAACCTGAAACCCCAGCACACTGCCTTCAGGGGTGCTGGAAGTGAATGCCACACCTAATTCCAGGGAGCAAAACGGTACAAGATAGTTGGCTGAGGGTACATGCCTGCACCTCATTAACAATTTGTCTCAAATTAGCAACCAGCTCTCAGAGAAAAGTCTTGTGCTTGAAATGTAATGGACGATGGCATTCCCAACTTGGCCAGGTACTTCTTCCCTGACTTGGGAGGTTTCAGCACAGCAGGAGACCTGTGATGACAGAAAGTAGCCAGGGGACCCTGTAGCTGGGACGTCACCTGGAGTGTGTTCAGTGGTTACCAGGAGCTGGGATGTGCCCCTGTGGGTGGGCTTGGCTCAGAGGGCCCACGGCCAGCAGGGCAGGGCAGGGGGGAGCTGGAGACTGCCCCACTGCAGTGCTGATGGGGCAGGGGCTGGTGGCCGGGGGGTGACATGGGCTCCAGGGCTCCAGAGGTCAGGGGAGCCCCAGGGGTGGGCAGGGACAGGCAGGGCTGGCGGTGCCGGGATGTGCCATGGCAGGGCTGTGACATAGTCTGGGACAGTCCGGAGTGGCTCTTCTCTCAAACATGGCCTTTTTTCCCTTCAGGAGGAAGGGAATGTTTTGGTGTTCTACCACGTCCACACAGATATCTGCAGATCTATAAAGCCTTGCCCAAAGCCACTATTGGTACCCCTGTGCAAAAGATTAATTCCTTCCTAAATTAACCCTGGGTTCATAGAGGGACCAGAGGCTTATAACAAGTACATCAAAAACCTGTTGCCTGCTACAGGAAGATCACTCCGTGCCTTTTATCACTCTTTGCCTACAGTGTACCAATGAGTAATTGTAGTGAGCATTTTCTTCCATGGAGAAAGGGCTCTCTAAATCCTCAAGGGCCTCCGGTTTAATCAATTTAAGACCAAGCAATAGCTTAGCAGTCAGATCCTGAAAATTTATTTTTGACAGCCCAGGACCTTTCCTCCCTGTTAGTGCTCTCTGGAGGCCAGCATGCCCCCTGCCCACCTGCCCTGGGAGAATCAGTGGGTCCCTTCTTCCCCATCCAGGTTTTCGGCAGGATCACAGTCAGATCCAGGCCCGCTTCTCAGCTCCCTTCTGTGTGGCAACTGGACACAAAATCCACACTATTCCTCTCAAAGACTTGTTGTATTTGTGCAACAGGACTTTAAAGGCTGATGAGGTATGAAGCCTTTCTAGTTTCTGGTTAATATGATGTATTTATTCACTCTAGGACCACTGCTTTCTACTTTAATCTTCCAGGAAAAAACACACCAAAATAAACGAAGGAGTAAAGACTTACTAAATAAAACTCTTAACCCTGTCTCAATAATCTCCAATAGTAGAAAGCATTATCAACCAGTGCTGTGGAAAGAGCTGACCCAAAACCTTCCTCCCCTCCTTGCTTGGACAGAGTCAGTCCAGGCAGTACTCAAGCCTTCTGTTCTTTCCAAGCATCTTCAGAAATGCTTGGCTGTGATTTAATAAAGACAGTTTTAAAAGAAACTTTTTCTACATCTTATGTCTGTCTTAAAATGTAGGGATCTTAAGGGTCTCTCGGCTTGGCACACTTGGATCTGCTCTGCTACAAGGTAAAAATAGCCACTAGTGAATATTTGAAGGCATGGCCTGTGAAGGTACAATCCCTGTGAGATCTGTTTGGGGCATCCTACACATCATTTTTAGTGTTCTATCAATGGATAGAATAAATTGGTACCTTGTAGACTGGCTTCGCACCTAGACAGAGGCAGCCTTGCAAACCCAGTGCTGCTATCAAAATAGCAGTCATAGTCCAGCACAGAAGCATCTCTCATCTCTCACTAATTGATTTGGTTTCTATAAACCCTTCAATGAGCTCCAAGAATTGACAAAAACAGCTGATTTCCACAGCTGTCTAGATTTTGGGGGAGATGGTGAGGATCTGGGATCCACAGGGTTAGAGATATGCCTATGGGCTTCTGCACAGTGTTAACAACCCTTCTACCAAAAAGTCTGGGCTACCAAAATTCTGCAGCAAAGAAAAGCCCATTTTTCTTATGTATTTGGAATGACAATCCAGCACAACCAGCACCCTTCTGGGTACCCATTTTACACCAGCCCTGATGCATGGATTTTTTTCCATGTTTTGGTAGCAATGTGAAAAGCTTATGGCCTACATGGTAGGAGAAGTAATTCCTTTAAAAATCATTCCTAAAAAGCAGCCATAGATAAAAACCTTAGGGGTGTTCCTAGCCTTATTAGGCTTACAGCTATTCCCAGTTCATGTATAATGCTAACTAGTCTAATCATTTTTTATTGTCAAGTGTGAAAATGCAGTATTAAAGGCCACCTCCTTATTTAAGACTGAGAGTGTGAAATTGGGAAAGTGTTAAGAAAAACAAAACAAAACAAAACAAAACAAAAACAGTAAGAAAATTAAAGCTCTGCATGTCTTTTTTTATTGTTATTTATTTTCAGTTGCTGAGAATTTTATAGACTCTCTTTCATCTTTGTTCCCTTCAAAGACAAGTCTATTTTTTCTTCATTCTGAAGGCATTCATTCGGTGTGAAGCAGTGGCATGGCTCCCTGGGCAGAGAGCTGTCAGCAAGCCCAAAGTGCTGCCATGCAAACCAGGCCCACATCAAAACTTGCTACATGTCTCATGAAGCTGTCTCAGGGAGAGCCATTTTCTGAGAAAAATGTTTCCTTCTTTCCCCTTTACTTTCACCATCCATATTTTTATGGAGGAGCCCTTTTAGCACAGTATTTATTTCTGAGTCACACAAATCAGCTCCAAAGCTTGGGTAGTGCCAAAAATGGGCTATTCATATTCATTCGTGCTCTTGTGCACATCTCTGCTCTCATAAAATGGAACATGTGTCTGATGAGCTTATTTACTTTCTAAATGTGTGGCAGGAAAGGATAGAAAATGTGCAGGAGATAATGGTAGAAGCACTGGAATAACACCAATAAGGCATTTGCAAATAGAAACTTCACAGTTTGCCTGATCTCTGCCAAACTCTGTGAAGTTTGGTTATAATGGTGTTGATTTTATTGTTAGGCCCTTAAAATACACGGGCAAATGCTTCTGCCAGTTAATTCCCAAAATAATGATGCTGCTCAGTACAGCGATGACTCACTCCAAGATGCCATTTGACTGGTTGCTGTTCACTTCCACAGGGAAGAAAACTGCTTAGGTCGTCACCTGTACTGTCACTTAGAGCCTCTTGGGGGCCAGGGCTTTTTGAGTACCCCCATCTGCAGCAGGTTGTGTCTGCTGTGACTCATCCTGCACACAAAACTCACGGTCAGCTCCCATACCACAGCTCTCATGGATAATGCAATACAGAAAATGCTTGGGGAGCAAATTTCTCCACTCCCTGGTGCACCCATGACATAGCAACCCCTTGCAGAACGGGCAGACGACCCCAGTGACCATGGGGAGTGCTCACGATGCTGGCCTGCAGCATCTCTTTCCACATAAGAGAAATAGGGATTATTTTCACTGTAGGATTTTGGTGCCCCCTAATAGGACCCCATACTAAAATGGAGTATGCTCCCCACCCAGTTATCTTGTGTACACAAGGCAGTGGCTAACTGATCAGTCCTGTCTTTGGCAAAAAGCAAGCAACCTAGATAAGCCTGTGTCTACCAAGTTACTACTCCTGTCCTTTCTCCAAAAATATTGAACATAATTTCAGGTTTTGCAAGTGTGTTTCTTGCCCCCATTGCTGACACTGTATCCCCGGTGTCACAAACATTCTTATATTTACGCTAAAAGTATGAGGGAATTAAAGACCACAATTCTGAAAAATCCTTAGGGAATAATTTTGTAAATATATATTCAGTGCTATGAGTCCACTTCAACAGTAAAAAAAAAAAAAAAAAAAAAAAAAAAGGAAAAGAGAAAAAAACTTCTCAGCTCTTCAGAAGTATTTTTATGAACCTCAGGGATGAGTCATCTCTGGCAGAGGAGATTTTAACAGGATGCAAAGGGCTGATTCCACACCGAAGCAGAGAAACCACCATTCCTTCAGTTTGATGAAGGAATCAATTCAAGGCTAATATTTTTTTTAACTAGAATTTCCCTTACCACCACAAAGAGCCCTCAGCTCCTCATACATGACTGACAGATAGTCCTCTCTTTTTCCACATTGTGCACAGACCATCTTGCCCATAACCTGGGCCAGGGGATGTGTAACAACAGGGACAAGAATCCTCTGCTACCTTGAGAAAGATCCAGAAGGGCTGCTTCCTTTTTCCGTTTTTCCTCCCCAGAAAAATGCATCTCCTTCAACAATCACCCTCTCCTTTCCTCACCAGGCATGGCAATTCAGTATCAGACAGAGCCATCTCTAATCTCCCACATACTTTCAATTTTACTTGCTGCCAGGGCACTAAGAGTCCCCTCTCTCTGTGTGGCAGATAAAATGAGCTCAAAGTTACACTTTGAGGGATGGAGGTCAGTTCCCTGATATATCTAGGTTGAAGCCTCTAATTACTTGAGATTTGTGCAAGTGAGAGCTGTGAATATGCTGCATTTCTAAAATCTACTTATTAACATGATAACAAATGTAATGGATGCCTTCAGATGCTTGAAAGCTGAAGGCAGAAGCAAGCGTGCATACACATAAAGACGGCTTCTACATTTTTAAGCCAATTTGCTACTTGCCTAGAATTAAAAAGAGGATGACAAGTTCAGATCTGCAAAGAGTTTAATGGGAGCTAACAAAGACTAACTGTGGCTGACAGGGCAGAGATGGATGATATCTTCCCTACTGCAGATAGGATTTTTTTTTTGTGGTCTTAAATCTTTTGAGTCTAAATTTTAAATTCTCTATTACTCTCTACCATTTCGATGTTTACATACAGGTTCCTGTAAGAGAGTTGCAAAAATCCTTTTGGGATCATTTTTCAATCAACAGATTAAACGAAAGACAAAGTGCTCCCAGCTATTCTTCCAATGCATCTTGCATTTCTAACAGCAGAAAGTACATTCTAGAAAAAGCCCTGGTCTTGGTGTGGGCTCAACAAAGTTTGCCAATATCTCACTCAAAACAAATTGGTAAAAGGATTTTGCTGAATGAAGATTAGAACAGTCTCACCTATTCTGGTGGAAGGACCCTTTCCAAATGCAAATCAGGAGCAGCTTTTCCATTGTTCTCAGCTGAAAGGCAGTCATGCACTTGTCTTCCCAAAAGTCCTGGCCCAGATTTGACACTGCATTGTTACCTGCATCACACAGTCAATTCACCTGGAATGGAAGAGCAAAGATCCTTCCTAACACCAATAACACACACACTTTAAAACAAACATGTTACTAACTCCACACCTGGAGTGGGAAGGAGGGTCCTCAGTTCCTAAGCCTTCTCAGTTTTAGATCAAATTGCTACTGCTGGGGTGGAGGTAGTGTTTTTCCTACCCCAAGCACAGCTATACAGTGCCATATGAATAAACAATAGGCCAAGGCAAGAGATCAGAGAAATATAACAGTGCTCTGACACCTCAAGTTTGGATTACTTACAAACTGCATCAATTCCTGGCAAGGCTGACCTAACTTGTGATCCTGAGAGCTCGATAAATTGAATTCCACAGAGTTCACCATGTAGAGGTTTTTTGATGAAAACTTTAAAAAACAGTGTTTGGTTTTTTCCTCTCCACAGCAGTATAGTTCTAAGAGTGTTGCATAAGCATCGTGACTTCTCTTTCTGCTTTGAGACAAGTTTCTTTCCGTGCTATGCACTGAGTTCTCCTTGGGTTTTTCTGTCCACCCCAGAGGATGCTGTGTTTCCATGATGTATTATTAAAGTGTGTATGTTGTTTATGAGCTACCCTGATATCCTTCAGTAGGGAGACACAATCTAAATGTAAAATAGCATTACTGTGATAAATAAGAATTCAAAGCTGTGGCATTTTTACTGCATGTATGAGATGTGCTTGGATGCTAAAGCTATCCTCTTTTGCATGTAAAAAACTAATACTTTGTAGTTTCTTCACTGAGATCTGTAAGTACAGAAACAAAGTCTGACTTCTAAATGACTAATGTTTGCAACTGCACTGCAGACCTGAGACGCCGCCTCCGCAGCCACCTGAAAATGACTGACTGGTTCACAGCAAGAAGGATGGAATGGCAAGAAGAAGGGCCTGAAGTGGAAAACTGCCCCATCAGTTAGCAGGAAGCTTATGAGGTGCTTTGTTGATTCATAGAACAAAAAATGTGGGAACTGAGGGGAGACAGAGGCCCAAAACCTAGAATGCTTCAATCTAGGCATTCTAGTGTCATTAGCAAGGCATCTTACAGAGTGATGGATATAATTCCCTCCCTGAGAGAACTCTGTGGGGACTGTGTACAAGAGACACCAAAAGTGAGGCAGCAATGACCCCACTCTGCAGCACTCTTTTGACTTAATAGGAACAGCTGGTCAGTGAAGTGTTTGCTAGAAATTTAACAAGGCTCAAACAGTGAGAAACGCCTGCCAATAAATCAAAAAGGAGCACCAAGCTAAATGAGTTTTAATTTAAATTCGTACCTAGGGCTGACAGATGAGAGCTTCATGGCTCTTCTGCATTGCATTATCACACGCAGATCTGTGCCCACAGCAGCAGCAGCAGCTCAGGGAAGATGTTTCTGGGTGGCAGCCTGGGGTCTTGGGTTAAGTGCATGGCCGTCATGCATCACACCAAGGGGGGCTGTGGGGAGAGGCAATGGGGAAGTTCTCACTAATGGCACAATTTCCAAGCCATTTGAACACCATGACAGCCACCTTGGCCACAAATGTTTTGGGCTCTGCTGTGCCCCATTGCTGCCACCAGCTTGATTCCATTGTTCCCTATCAGAGCAAGCCGCCATAGCAGAAAAGGCTGTGGCCATAGAGATAATGTTGCCTCAAATGATAGCTGGGGACAGCAAGGGGAGGGAAGTAAACTAAAATTTCTGTTCCCTTGCCTGAAGGAGCCCTCAGTAAAAGGCCAGCTTTCCCTGAATCCACAGAATATGGTGGGTGTGGGCAGAAGCCTCCAGAAAGTCACCTCACAGTGACCAAGGCCATCACGGGTACAGCGGGTTCATAAATCCCTCCTGCTTCCATGAGCAGTTTTCAGTCTGGTAGCAAGGCAGATTGAGTGCCTTTGGTCCCTTGGGGGATCAGGAGAGTCATGCCGAGGGAAGCCTGGATGTTTGCTGATTGTGCCTGCTATTGCTCTGCTCTACCAGGAGCAAAGCTGACTTATTTTCAGGGAAATGCTCAATCACACTTACTGTGACATTGGAGAGAAACTTTGTGACTGCTCATGGGCAGCTTGAGTATTCACTACAGTGGCAATTCCACTGCACACTTTGTGCCATAGCTGAGCCTGTTTGGCATCCACGCCTGCTGGTTTGTCTGAAGGGGGCTGGCATCTGATTTCCAGCTGTGCTGCACCATGTCACATGGGCTTCTGTGCCCTGGGAAAACTGAATCTGCTGCTGAAGCAGCATTCACTTTGCCAGGAGGTCTTGTGGTGCCATCAGTGGAAATAATCACTTTTCAGTCTGTTGGGGTAATGCAAGCAGCCAGTCAAAACCACATGAACAAGAATAGCAAGTGGGATGAGAGAGCACAGCCAGGTGCTGAGGTGGTTGCCTGTGTGTCTCCATGGTGCAGGGTCCTGGAGCCAGGCACCCCCAGGAGCTCTCCCTACCCCCCCAGCCCTCTGCCCATGGCTGGAAAGCACTGCAGAGGTACATGGATGGCACACTGTGCCTCAAAACATCATTTGTGCTGCCCAAGGTGGCTTGCTTTAGATCTCACAGGGCTGCTGGATTGTCTGCTCACAGCTCATGACCCAAGATACAGGGCTGGTTGTCCCTTCATCTGGGATGTGGCATCACTGGAGAGGCAAAGGAGAGAGAGAGAGGATGGGAATGGCTGAAGGATGAACTGCAAGGTGAATTTCTCTGGGCTGGCCTGTCACTGAATTCTGCATGGCTACTCTTTGCTTGAGTTGGAGAATCAGTTTGGCTGCTTGTTTTGTTTTTTTCCCCAAATGAAATGAAAGATACCCAAAGCATGACTTACGACAAAGGGGGTATTTATGGTCTACAAACAAATCTAAATAAATGCGTCTGTATAGAAAGAATTGTGATCACTGCCTCTTATACTCACCAATGCTCTGACTGCAAGAAACTTCAACAAACTTATTTTTTATAATGTTTTCCAGAAGTTTCAAACAAAAGAGACTGAAAACAGTGGACAAAATAAAATAAAATTTAAAAAACGCCGAACAGATATACCGGTATATTGACATTCCAGTTAGCCTTTCATACACGAACTTCCATGCATGCACACACACATATGTACACATAAAATGGAATAGATTAGTTCTGAAGCTTTCAAAAACAGCAGCTAAACTTTTTAAAAGCCAGAGGCAGCCATATTCCCTTCAGAAAAGATCTGGTAGGAAAATATCAAAAGCAGAATGTACAGGCTTTTAAAGAAATGTGTAGGAGCAAAACGAGCTCATTTCTGTTTTAATCCAAATTGAATCATATGTCTTATGTCAAAGCTATAAAAAACAAGGAAGGTAAAAGAGGTAATTCATGTTCTACAAACTTTAAAAAAATTTTGTGTTAAATTATTTCCTTCTCTTTACACAAAAGAATCAAAAAAAAGGTATCAATTCCTAGGCAGAAAATTGCACCTCCTTCCTACCATTAAGAAGAAACTAAGGAAACACATCCTCTTCTGGTATAGTCTGTTACAGCCCCTCAGGAATCAAAGGAAGTAGGACAGTTTCCAACAATGGAGGACATGATCCTCAGATCTTTAGTAAGTGAAAAAGCATCCTGTCTGGAACTATTTGGGAGAGGAAGCTTATCCAAAACTAGCTAATAAAATACTTTCGGTGCTCTGCAAAGGAGCTCAGTTGATCCCGAGTAAAAGCCATGGGGTGCCTGTCGGTGGGAGTGCCGGGTCCCCTGGCCCTTTTCCCCAGCCCCGGCGGAGCAGTGTGGGGTCAGAGGAGCTGCTGGCTGGCAGAGCTGCCAGCTGTGCCCTTGGGCACCTCTGCCATGGTGCAATGGCCCAGCTGAGCAGGAGGCGCTGCAGAAGGAGGGCTCCAAGATGGCAGCCTGCTGCCTCTGTGGGTATGGAGTACACTGCTCTCTGCTCAGGTCTGGGGAGCCCGGGGAGGGACAGCATCCAGAACGGGGCTGCATGAAGTCCCTGGGTACCAGAAGCTTCTTCCCTCTGCTTCTTCACAGAATCCTCAGATCCTACTGGAGCAAGGGCCAAATCTGTTACACAGCAAAGGGTGTGCAACAGATGCGGTTCTGAAAAATTACAGTGAGCCAGGTAGTTCTGGAAAGCACAACACACTCTGCATGCATATCCTGTCTTCAAGGCTCAACATGCCCAGCTGGGACAGTCAGACACCACACAAATGAGCCTGAGACTGGGCTAGGACACAAGGAGAATAAAAGACCTAAAGATGTCCGGGCAAGCTAAAAATGTTCTAGTAGCCTTGGAGCCATATTCAGCTAAAAAATCTTAGGCACTGATGCAACAAAAGGATGATGTCTGGTCCAGAGAGTATTTAGAGTATGTAAGTTGGGCTCCTGTAGGACATAGACCTCCCACTGATATTACAGACAACTTCAGAGCACCCAAAGGGCTGAAGACTCCAGGAGGGAGCCACATCCATCCAAACAATAAAGACTCCCTGCTACCTGCTCAGTACTTGCCTTGGTACATGAAGCAGGACCTGCCATCTCTCCCTCCATTGCTGCAGATAGGGTGAATCCACTCAATTCTCTTGACACATCGTTGTGGAAGGTGATGTTGTTTCAATCCACCACTGGTTTTTACCTGCTTCCCTTCTCAGAGCACACGGAGAGATCTTCACAGCATGGCTTCTGAAGTGGGCCCCAGGCCACAATGGGGGCTCCTGGACACATGATCAGAAACTAATAAAAGAATAAAAATCCGTAGAAGTTCTTGCAACTACTTCCTCCAGTTTCTTGCTTTCTCATCCCGCTCACTCCTGGGTTCTGCAGCAATAACAACAGCAGCAGAATTTCTGTGAACAGAATAATACTGCAGAATTCAGGCTATCTCTGGAAAATCTTCCCAAAACAGCCTGAAGTGGCCACATGATTTTAGAGAAAGTGGGAGGATGTCACTTTCACTCAAAGGCCAAGATTAATTGCTTAGCTGGATCCATTAATCCTGCCTGAGCTGCACAGGTCTCCAAATCACCTGCCTCTTCTGGGAAAAAAACTATCATCACCCCAAGACGTGTTCATATCATCCTAAGAAATTATTCCATGCCTTTGCACAAATTATGTTGGCCTCTTACACCACCAAAATAGCCTTTATTTAAGAGATTTAATTAGGTTCAGAACAAACAAAAGATCTTTTGGAAGACCAGAAAACTGTATAAAATCACTACCATAAGGAGAAAGATGTTTCTGAGCTGCTCTCTCTATTTATTTTCTGCATGTGAAATCAGTCAGTCATTTTGAATGCTTGATAAAATCAAGGAACAATTAAACTAAATTGAGCTTTAATTTCAGACTGTGACATATGTCTACGGCTAAGTATTTCTTTCTGAAATGTCTGGAATTACTAACCAGCAGCACAAGCTAAGTTCAAATATCAGTCAAGGTGGCAAAAAGTTTTTCACTGATTAAAAAGCACACAATAAAAGTGTTGGAATACTTTGCACTACTCTCAGAACAGGACAAGGTCAAGCAGCAATGACCAAGCTAATGAGGAATCCCACCTTTCTGTGCTAAAGGATAAATGAGCCACATTGAGGGCTGAGCCCTCAGTATTCCTGAACAGCACCAGGGCCTGTGATCCCAGCTTCCTGCACACTCAACACCACCTCCCCGAGCTGCATCACTGAAGATCTGTAGAGAAACAATCCTTTATTGGCAAAGGCACAACTGCAACAATTGTTTTTAATCCCAGTGTCAAATCCAACTTTCATATCTTTTAACACCAAAACCATTTTTCTCTGCCTCTTATGTCTATGTACTTGCCTGTTACAAGGTCTGGCTCTTCTTCTTGGAGCAACTGGTGTTTCCCTGTGAACTGACCTGACAATTGGTCCTCCTGACAAAGTTTGCTCGTGGAGCAGCCTTTATTGCCACCCCACATTAGCTCTGAGTTTGACTCTGCTCCTGCATCTTTGATGGCAGGTCTAG